TTTCCCTATTTTGTTTCCTCATTCCTTTTTTTCTTTCTTTAACATATGGGTTTCCAACATTGCCTAACAATTTAACAAACCTGTGCACGGATGAAAGAAGCCACTTTTGTGTCAATAGCAATGCAGCAATCTTTTCTTAACAAGAAGTATATGGATCAAACATCCATGAAAAATCACATACTTAATAATGTCAATAAAAACCGAATAGAATAAGGTATGTAGTCACTAGAAGTAGCAAAACAAATTACACAGGAAACTCCCACTCCAAGAAAATAAAATAAAATCCTGACTCTAATACTAAACTTCATACGTCCTTTTTGCAGCACTCTACTGCAGATGTAGAAATAGAAACTGTTTCTTTAATTATTATCACTGAATGAAAATTCAATCATCTTCATGATCAGGGAAAATGGGTATTATTGGCTTCCTAGAATCAAAAATATAGTTCAGTGATCATATTAATTATCATTAAATAAACATTGATGGTTTCAAGCCCACTTTTCACAAGACAAGGGATGAAAGAGCATAAATTGTGCTTGTTTGTCATTCTATTGACACAGGGAATATCATACTGAAAATTAGAATAGAAAATAGACACAGAGAGAAGAAAGATACAAAATATTAAAAAAAAAATCTATGGGCTAGTTCACATTTATGATCAAGCATACCTCCAAGGTGCTTTTCCTCCCCAACAAATGGCACGTCAAATAATTTGTCAGAAGAATCATTCTCAGGTACCCCTGACATGCTGGAAATTTCATTCTCCTTTTGTTTGTAACTAATAAGAGATGCATCAGAAATATGTCCAGATGCATTCAATGAGATTCCATTTTCACAAGAAACTCCCGTACTATCAGAGTTATTATTAGGTACCATTGAGAAACTTCTCTTTGATTCATTTGACTCTAGTCCAGAAACCTTGCTGTCAGATACTCCTGGGAGAGGTGATCCACTTGGACTCGGAAGTTGCTCACACATAACTGGAACAGGCACCATAGCTATACTCTCCAAAACCTCTGTCAAGGGACGACAACGATGTTTCCGTTTTAAGAACTCGTGAACATGAGACACTTGAGATCTCTTCCTTTTCAATGATGACACTACACCCATCCCCAGATCCTCAAGCCCTCTCATACGCCTAACTCCCTCTGTTCCATCATCCTCTGAATCATTTGGGGTACGCCATTGCCTCCCCTGCACAGATTGCTTTCTAGAAGCACAGGCCTGATTTGGCTCTTCAAATGATACACCAGACTGAGACAATTCCTGTGCTGAACTAGAATCGCCATCAAAACTAACTGATTCTTCATCCATATGTTCAGTTTCTTTGCTAGAATGAGATATTGTTGGTGATTCATTGACAAGAAGTCGCTCACCACCAGATTTATCCATTTTTGAGCAGAAGTCTGGACGATCTTTGGATTGGCGAGCACTTTCAAGCTCAAGAGCATGAAGAATGGCATCTTCCCGCCGAGCATACTTCACTGCTTTCTTCAAAGAATTAGCTGCTGAAGCTTTGGCTGTTTCAATGCTCTCATCATACTCCCCAAAACGAAATGCCTTCACCCGTTTAGATTTCTCAAGATTATACCAATCCCTAGAACAAAAATACAGATAAATGTAAAGGGCAAGTTAACAATGAATACAAAATTTAAGTCTTTAAAGTTCAGAGCTGGTAATATAGTTTTAAAATTTTAAGTAAAAATATCAAAAATAATAGCTACATGACCATAATCAGCATGAGTACTGCAGGAAGTACAAGAAAAATAAAATTTGGCTCATACTAGAAGAGAGAAGTCTTGGAAGGCTAATTATAGAATAGAGAAAGAAACGAAAAAGACAGCCATTTAGTCCATTGATTGCCTGATATGCAACCTCACTGCAAGCCATATCCTCAAGAGGCATTGTTAATTTGCAAGCATAGTTTAAATTTAATCAGGGATTGCTTTCTCTTTCTCTTTTGACAACACAATGAAGACAAGTTCAGTAGTGTTTGAAGACTTAAAGGGACTATGAAGCATCTCAGAAAAAATGCAGAACCAGGATAACAAAGTCACCCAAAATATTCACACAAGTTGCAAAACACAGCATGTTGTACATGCATGAAACAACAGACAAAGCGGCATTACTTAAAAGATTTGGGAGGGTTCTCGGCAGTTTCTGAATGCTGGATGGCAATCTGATACATCTTTACTTAACATCCGACCTCCCCGAGTGCCAAAATCATTCTGCTTTTCTGAAAAAAGTGTCCTGAGAGGAATTCAATCTCTTCAGTCTTGGGATACCACCTAAATCTTGGACCATTAGTTCTCTCTCAGTTGGCATTTTGCTAGCCACTATAGCATGTAAGAGAACCTACAGTTAATAAACTTCAGTTGGCAAATCCTGCTAAAGAGCAAAAAGAAAAGGGTGTCCAAGAGAAGGAATTACTAAGAGATTCAACAACTATATGTGCGAAACTAATAATCACAATATTGTGTAGATCAGCCTGATCCTAAAAAGCACGGACAATTTTTAAGGAGGCGTGTCATGTCGAACACCCGTGTCAGACATGACAGTCTGTAGACACTCCTAAAAGTGTCCAACACTTCATCAACGTGTCTAATTAAAATTATAAATTCATAATATCGGACACTTTACAAGCACTTCTCAAACACTTCAACAACACTTCTTAAACTCTTTGAGCACGACTTACGTGATTTCTTAGTAATAATATTTTATAATCTTTGAAATGCAGCTTGTGCACTCTGCATATGTTTTGAAACATTTATAAGATAAATACATCATGTGGATTTCAGTGTTTTACAATTGTTTTTCATTCTTTAGTATGCAATTGTTATGTGAATGATATCTTGACATTTAAGGCATTTTAATTTTAAAGAGTGTTGTGTAACTTTTATTTTCATTACATATGAATAAATTATTCATGTAATTTACATATACTAAATTTATAAAAATATAAAGTTTTAACATGTTCCAGGCATAAATGTCTTATATTTTGGGAAAATCGCCATGTTGGCATGTCTGTGTATGTCGCGTGTTTATGTCTGTGCTACTTAGGCTTGATCCTTCAAGCAGGGTGCCCATATGAGGCAAGCAAACGTTCGTTTTTCATCATTTTTTAAAGCAGGGGACAGGGAATCTCTTTTCTGCAACGAGAAAAAAAAAATGAAGCTGATCCTTATTTGGTGTACCTTCTCTAAATTGAACTTTTTTTCTTCCCCCTCCACTCTAAGACTCACCCACTTGAATATGATTAAATTTTTGACAGTACCTGGAACCACACTGCTGCCACTGCCCTTCAGGCACACGTTCTACACTTATCACTCACCTACGCTCTTGTAACATGCCCTCTTCAATACATGGTAAATCATAGCACATTCTATTCCTCCACATTCAGTACACATGTTCATTCATTACTAAATATTACATTCAGAAGTTGTTACTTAGAGGGGAAGAAATTTGAACAAATACATGTAAATCACAAACATCAACTATTTATCTTGGCCTTTAACCTTCTATCCATACTAAAATTTAAGGATGAGATTCATATTTTGGTTGACGCATAAAGGCACACATCTCATTACAACCATAATATCTAAAGTCTAACCATAAAGTTCACTTATATTGGACATGACAACCCAAGCTTCCCACATTGTCCCAAAAAAGAGGGGGAGGGGGAGGAGGAGGAAAATTGACGACACAAAAAAGAAAAGAGGGCTGCACCATTTGGCCTATGGCTCCCACCACCATCCACAAACATAGGAAAAGCAAGTTTAGCACATACAAAAGCTGTGGAATATTTCCTTATTTACACGAGTATATCAACTTCAAATCTACAAAATAACTTTAACCATGGTGTCCCTACTCAGTCTTACCCAGTAGATGGTCTTAGTGGTTATGATAATATGACCTTTTCCATTTACTATTTTAGAAAGTTTAAAATACAAGATATCATTTCTGTTTCCTAAACTGCCTTTTTCTCAGCATAATAACAATAATGCACAAAAGATGGACCCATCAAACAGAGGCAAAAGTGCAATTCCACTACAAGTAACCACAAAACAAAAAATTGAAGAAAAAGGAAAAAGAGGGGGAGAAAATGAAACTGCAGAAGGCATTCTGCATGATTCATCTAGAATCACATAATCTATCTCAGCTCAAAAATCTGTCCATGAGCTAGCTAGTAGAATTCTAGTATTGATGATAAAGAGAACACAAGCATTCTGCAAGCACACAAACAGTTTATGTGATGAAGAGGGGACATCACTAAGGACCTGAAATCTGTTTTCTACCCTATTCAATAATGTGCAATTGTGCATTGTCACATCATAAAATGATTCAACACTATCTAATAGATGTTCCCTTCTTATTCAACAAAAGTTAGCATATAGACAGGCTGACTAAACTCACCCCATGAAGACAGTTGAGATAATACCATGCTATAACTTAATCACTACATGTGGTTTAACTGCTTTCTTCCAGCTTACAAGGGAGAATCAAACTTCAACTCATTGTGCTCCATGGACTAAAAGAATGATAATGTAGCTTCTTTCCTGTCCCTCACCATATCAAACAAGGAAATGCCACTACAATTCTTTTCGAAGTTAAAACAAGAAAGACAATGACATTGATCTTATCACTCAACATGGAACTGCACCCAAACTCTTCTTTTAAAAAAAAATGCATAAATATTTGCACTTGGTGTCACAATCAGCCAACCATTATCCTTAACTAGCACTGCAAACAATAAAGGATTTCTACTACTAAGATCTTTATGGCCACAAGGTCCCTTGAGAAACCATCAATCAATGATCAATGATCTGTCTAAAAATTAGAAAAACTGGAAATACTGGGGTACACTGGTAACTAATTAATCCATTGTCTTTCTTTCTTTGTTTCTTTTTTGCTAGGAAGCCTATCATCCCACGAATTTCCTTGTGAAATATTCACTATTATCCTTTATATGTTATTTTCAGCATGCATACTAGCTTGAAGTTCCATAAACAGTTTCAGTGAATACACATGCAAGTATATATACATGGATGCTTGGAACCTCTGCACAGCACATGTTCCTAGGAGGGGAAGCAAAACTTGGGTTTTAAAAGTTTGAGCAAAAGGTACTGTTAGAATTTACCATCACCTACCACCACTACCACCGCACCTACTCCACTAAACCTAACCCACTACACCACTACCACTACCACTACCACCTCCACTTCACCTACTCTCCACCTACTCCCAAACACACTCCTATATAATAGGAATCCTTGTAATTGTAATAAAAATAACAATATATATCAATCAATAATACATAAATTTTTACATGGTATCAGAGCAAGGTTAACACCCTAGTCATTCTGCTTCACCGGCGGACGGCAGTCTCGCCTTGGCCGCCCGCATCACGCACAATCAGATCATCACAAAATTTTAATGTCACAACCCAAGAGTTCTTGAGGGTTGAGTGTGAGATTTCGATTCTGAGAACTCAAGTTGCAGAGATTAGTCACAGATTGCAGTCTCCGAATGAGATTATGTGTTGCTGGAATTTTGGGAATGATTGTTTTGGTTCTGAAGATAGTTTCACCAAGCACATCTTCGAGGGCCGCTACTGTGCATCGGCGATTTGCTGAGTGATGTCGGAGAAGACGATTCTGGGGACCACCACAACCACATCAAGGTCGACTTCCCGCTCTCTCCTTCATCACCATCTTCATCATCATCATCATCAAAGAAACTTCCTGATCTGGTCCCACCACCACAGCCTAGTTCATCAAGCTATGGAGCTTCTGACTGGGATTAGTTGTTCAAGGGGGTTGAATTCTTCCTTTGTGCCGATGCCGATGCCGATGTCGGATCAGAACACAATTTTCTCATCTGCGTTTTCTCTGCAGGAATTCAAACCTACCCTTAATTTCTCTCTAGATGGGCTTGGGATGCAAGAGACTAGTGGTGGGAGGCTTCTATTTCCATTTGAAGATCTGAAACAAGTCTCTAGCACATCAGATATTGAGCAAGGTAAAGAACAAGGAGGAGATTCAACGGGGTATTGGAATGGAGTGGAAGCCATTCACAGAGTCGGTGGAAGACGGCTCCATCATGAGAGAGAAAAGAAAAGAAAAGAAAAGAAAAGAAACAGAGGAGAGGCAGAAAAGAAAGGGAGTGGTGAGGCTATGGAAAAGTCTCAAACCCCTCAGAAGACCATCACCACTCACCCATGTTCTGGCCAGCTGGCTAGTGCAGGTATGGCTGTGGTCCATCACGTGGTGCGGGATTTTCTGAGAATTTTGTCGGCTTGGTTTGTTGTAATGGTGGGCAGGCTGTCATCTAAGGTCAAACTATGTGAGTTTTATATATATATATTATACATAAGCATGTCATGTGTGGAGACAATGGCATGGTATTTCAAATCCTTCTTTTATTTTTTATATCAACCCACTCACAGTTTCACTGTTTTTTTTAAATTATTATTTTATTTTTTTATCTTCTCTTTTTGCACATTACACCATCGCCCCCAACATCCTCCATTCAAAAATATTCTCTCTTTTCTTTATCTATTTTTTTATTCTTATTATTATTATTAAACACAACAAAACAACCCATCACCACCAAAAAAAAAAAAAAACAAAACAAAACAAAACAAAACAAAACAAAACAAAACAAAACAAAACAAAACAAAACAAAACAAAACAAAACAAAACAAAACAAAACAAAACAAAACAAAACAAAACTTTAAAAATTTTAAAAAAAAAAAAAAAAAAAAAAAAAACAACAACAACAACAACAAACCACAACGGCTTTGTTTTCTTTCCTGCAGACGGCCACACCCCGACATCCCTTCTCTACTCTGCCGCCGGTCTCTTCTTCTTGCCTCCGTCCTGGGCGACCCTTGCCGGTGTTGCCTCCGTGTTTCCCACTCCACTGGGCAAGATCACTACTCCCTGCTCCTCCACTGCAGCATATGGCGTACCTCCAAATCGGAACATAACGGTTGCCTTCCGCTTGAGCTCCTTGTTTTCTGCCTTTAGCACACTTATCTCTGCTCACGCATCCTTATACATGCGTTGGAGAAGAGCCAGCTGGGAGTTTAACTGCTGCACCTCATTTGCCCTACTCTGCAGCCGGTTCGACAAGTTTGTAACCGCAGTCATGGTTTCCACACATGACTTTAATGTATACTGATTGGCTTCCACATCCGACTGCACTGCCATTCTTTGCTCCACAGACCGCATCGGAAAGTTCAGCGGAGTAAACTCCGGGGCACTCGGTTGAGGTTCCAGTGCCACCGCTCCAGTTCTCTCTCTTGTTGACTCGTTGAGGTCGGGAAAGAGGGTGAGCAGTCCACGGGAAGACGAGGCCATTTTCTGGGCAACAAAGTGTTACAGACTATCTCTTTCAGCACAAGAAACTCTCTTTCTCAGCAACACGAAGGATTTTTTAGAGGTTTCTCTCAGTTTTTTTCTGCCTCAGCCTCTGCCTTCATCTTGGTTATATAGCCAAGGCAGCCACGCGTATCATGCGCCGCTCGGCGCTAGACGACAACCTGGGCGCACAAGCCAAGTCACGCGCCTCGCCATCATGTCCGGTACACCTTTTGATAAAATGGGCACGCTTTTTGATGGCACGCCTTTTGACAAAATTGGGCACACCTTTTGAGGGTGCGACTTTTGGTTTAACTGCTTTCTTCCAGCTTACAAGGGAGAATCAAACTTCAACTCATTGTGCTCCATGGACTAAAAGAATGATAATGTAGCTTCTTTCCTGTCCCTCACCATATCAAACAAGGAAATGCCACTACAATTCTTTTCGAAGTTAAAACAAGAAAGACAATGACATTGATCTTATCACTCAACATGGAACTGCACCCAAACTCTTCTTTTAAAAAAAAATGCATAAATATTTGCACTTGGTGTCACAATCAGCCAACCATTATCCTTAACTAGCACTGCAAACAATAAAGGATTTCTACTACTAAGATCTTTATGGCCACAAGGTCCCTTGAGAAACCATCAATCAATGATCAATGATCTGTCTAAAAATTAGAAAAACTGGAAATACTGGGGTACACTGGTAACTAATTAATCCATTGTCTTTCTTTCTTTGTTTCTTTTTTGCTAGGAAGCCTATCATCCCACGAATTTCCTTGTGAAATATTAACTATTATCCTTAATATGTTATTTTCAGCATGCATACTAACTTGAAGTTCCATAAACAGTTTCAATGAATACACATGCAAGTATATATACATGGATGCTCAGAACCTCTGCACAGCACATGTTCCTAAGAAGGGAAACAAAACTTGGGTTTTAAAAGTTTGAGCAGAAGGTACTAAAGCATCCTTCAACATTAATTACATGAATATGCCTTAACATCATATCTCCTGGCAAATTACTTAAATCGTGGTTGCAATTTCCATCCACAACCACTTCTAGCAAGTCTGGAAGTGATCAAATCTACTAAACCACTCACCTAGAATTTGAAAGCCCTGCTCTAGCCCTTAGATGACAATAGTAAACTTGATTTCTTACTTTGTTGCTACAAATGTTGTCATACCTATATCTCCTAACCAGTGTGAATTTAGAACTCACATTCAGTGTGTTGTACAACCACCAACCAATGTGCCCACTACTGCCTCCAACAGTCTTTCTCACTTACTTTGTAAGACCTAAACCAGAATGTTAAGAAAGACTGGCACGTCCTCAAAGCTCCTCTAAGTTAAAGCCCCTCTTGTTTCCACATAATTTTCTTCCTTCTGATCAACAGACTCAAGAAAAAATGAGATTCATATACACAAAATGTAAAAACTTCTTGCCAAAGGAACTTACAACTCAATCAATTTGGTCACCTTGGAGAGAAACCCAGGCACTGCTTTGGTCCTCCGATGTGCCTTGATTCTATATGTCTAAAAAGGACTGTGTGGAATCTTTGCATGAAAACAATATTCCTACAACCACCAACCATCCCTAATTTCCATCATTAAGCTCCATCTCATCACAACTGGTTTTGCAAACAAATTCACATCATCTCCACTAAATACAACCCTGATAGGTTTCCTGGGACTACCTAGGATATAACCATCCTAATCAACACGCACAGGAGAAGGATGGGAGGAAGAGAGAGCGAGAGGAGAGATAAAGAGATGGAGTATGTACATTGTACATGCACACAATGAAACAGTGCTGTCTCATTTCCCTAGACAATTTAGATTTGAGACTTCAAAAATCTTCTTCTTTTCTTGAAACTTGAATTTAAATCAAACAAATTAGTTATTATGTCCTTGCAACAAAAACATGTAACTTTATGCATCTCACCTCAAACTTGCAGGTTTGCAGCTACATAAAGATTTCACTAGAATGCACCAAGAATATTCACAGGACAATCATCAGTACCAACCAAAAAAAAAGGGGGGAATGGTAAACATTCAAGCAATCCGCATATGTGAAAGTGACTATTTAACACATAACTCTCTTGGGCCAATAAAGATAAGTAGTATGGATATAACCTAATTGATAATAAATCATAACCAACATTGCTTTATGCATTTATCCCTGTTTCTTGATGATACCCAGGATCTCATTCTACAATTCCAGTAAAGTTCATAGGATGATATGACTAGAGTCAACATCTTACTGCAACCATGTCAAGAGCCAGGAATTGAAGGGGAGAGAGAGCGAGAGAGAGAGAGAGAGATTTGACAATCTTACACGGCATTTTATAGCGAAACTGGCTCTTTTGAACAACTAAATGTCATCTATAGACAGTCCTGCAACAAGGTATAATGTGAGATTGCTTTACATACCAAAAACAGCACATAAAAATTTCAACTGCAGTGATAAACCACGATGTATTTCATCCAAACCATAGTATTATCATAATGCATTTGAACGTGCAACAAAATGCAAAACTGGGAGAAATTCCACTATGCCTCAGAAACTACATAATCCATGTCAGTGTGGCATCCACCATCTATTTTTTTCTTGACTCTTCTACAATGCTATAAAACAATAAATCACAGTTCAGCAAGAATGAGACAAACTACAAAGGTCAACATCCAATGAAAACAGCTTGCTACCAAGAAAGAGATTCCTATCCAATACTACAAATGTGTTTATATCCATTTCACCTAATCCGTCCAACACAGTGTACAAATCACACTCTATAACGCGAATTGACGAATTTAGCACAAAAAAGGGGTCAAACTCACAAATTAGTATAGTCAAATCCACAAACTTTCCACATATTATGTTTGAACTAATTTGGGCCCTGTTTCCACTTATTAAGTTTGAGCTAATTTGGGTCCTGTTTGTTTGTAGAATTAGAGGATGGGATTGAACTAGTATTGGGGTAGAATTCAAAAAATCATTTTTGTTTTAAAAAGTGGCCATGGGATTACGAGTCCCATGGGACAATGAAAGTCCTCCAAGGAGGGGACTAACAATCCCATGGAAGATGTGGTATTGATATCTAATCTCATGAGATTTGAGGTAAAAATACTATTTTACCCCTCATTTTATAAAAAGTTTAATATAAAAATAAATTTTAATACTAAAATAAATAGTATAATAATATGTTTATACCAAAAAATATATATCAACATAAAATAATGTAGTACCAAAATATAATTTTTAATATTAAACTATATCAAAAACACCAATGGTATTTATGGAATTTCATATAATTAATCCCATTATAGAATGACAAAACAAACATGAATTATTGCTAGTCTGGTGGTTATCAAACAAATACAATTTTTCTTAGTCCCCTCATTAGCAATCCCTACACTAATAATCTCACCCAACCAAACTCTAAAGACAAGCGGGTCCTTAATATCGTTAAAATTGCTTACTAATTATGATAAGAACTGGTTCATGCCGCTATAGATGAACTACAACTCATCCAATTAAAACAAGGCTCAAGCTTGTGCCAACTTTTTAAAAGACTGAAAGGCTCTCACAACTTGGTGTGTGGCCATTGCAGGAATGGGACAACATACATTGGGGCTGAGGCTTTCATACTGATATGGAAGCCTTACGAGAATTGAGTGTCAACGGTGCAGGACTATTATCAGTGAAGCCACCGTACAGGAGTGGAAAGCTTTAACATCACGAGAGGCTTTCTGTTGGCTTTTTTAGCTTTCGAAGGTTATTATTGTAATTGTGAGCGTGCCAGTAAGGATCAATCAGTCCTTACAAAATAATAATTGCCAACCAATTATCAGACAATTGTATTTTAGTTCTTTCAGCCTCAATGCAGAAGACTTTTACTGATAGCTTTGTTTAGGAGAATTAAGTAAACAATGATTAAATGAAGAACAATTGTAACATGTCATTAAGTGAAATGGAAGACTTACAACGATCCAAATCAGCCTCGTAGAGGTTTACATCAACAAACTACTCGAAACTACTCCTATGAACGAAGTGCAGTGCAGGAATTTGAAGTACAGAAATGTAAAGAACAAGGAATGTAAAATCTGGAAAGGAAATAAAGTAGAATAAAATTGGTTTTTTGGATCTGAGTCTGGGGGTACTTTCTAGGGCCTTCTCTGCTGTTTATATTTCTCAATGACAATCGTCGAACTGCATTTCTAACC